TCCAGAGAGAGTTCGAAAATACTTAGGACTGTCAGCCCATGACTAAATGTCAGAAGGTGTTTTAACTAAACACATGGCTACAGTACTGTGCATGTTTGGGCAAATAATACTTATCCTGTATGGCAATTAAAAAAAAAAACTGTCATCATCTAATCCTAGTAATCAATCTAAAGTTCATGATGTTCGCTGATTGTTTGCTGTTAATAAGAGGTGGGCAACATTTTGGTTTCTGGAGGCCTCATTTAATGTTTGAGGGAAAGCAAGAGAGAATATGAAGGACACAATATGACAGAAACTAGAATATCGTTGTTTTCTTGGGATTGGGGAGAATAGCTTGCAGAGAGGGAGGGCATTTATCTAAAGCATACATCTTGGGATTTATGTTTTCTACCTCAAAATGACAGGAGACCATGCTGCTGATAAAAACTATTTAACTTTTTAGCATTTGACAGTTCATTATTTCGTAAAAGATTCTGCTGGGCCAGTTAGATAATTCTACTTGAGAATTGGGCTGAACATCATCATGTGCTATTTTGATGTAAGTGATTCAATTTCATTCAAGCTGTCCTCAGCTCATACTCCAGAGTGGCCACTTGTGGCCCCTACTAAGATCCACAAACTCCTTCCACAATTGAAAAACAGCAAGGCTGATGGAGGAGACTTAATTCTGGCTGAGTTTTTGAAAACTACTTCTGACTGATGGGCTTCTTTAACCACCTCTTGATTCACCTCCCTTGACCATTCTCTCCAGATCCCTGAGGATCTATCTATCACAGTTCCAATATTTAAGAAATGAACTAGAAACTCTCCAACTAATTTCAGTCCAATTATCCTTCTAAGTATTCTCAGTTGTACCAACAGGCATCTCTATTGGAAACTGACTGACTGGTTGATCCAATACAAAGTTTGGGCTCAGGAGCAAACTAGATTCAAGTCCAGGTGATCTACACTACATTATCTAGTAAAAAAAATATGCTTAATGTCAAAGAGGTACTTAATATGTTGCTTTTATTGATTTAAAGACAGCTTTTGACTTGATTCACAGAGATAGGTTCTGGGCAAAGCTTGTCACATCCTTTATCCATTGAAGGCTTCTACCTGAAACTTCACACAAACACTCAAATGTTTATTTACTTGACTAAGTTGATCATTTTTGTTGCCTCCTGGATCCTTTACTACTGTTGTATTTCTGAATTTTGAGGGATTTTATGTGCATATGCCAGTCTATGACCATAATAAAAGCTCCAGTGGAAGAAATGGCAGACTGAAGACCACGGCAAGGAACGAAAAACTAATGGGTAGACTGGCTCTTCAAATCTCTCCGGACAAAGAGAGGATGGGAGATAGTTCATAAGTGCTCCAGACAGTTGCTCCTCATGAGGAGACCACAAGACAGTGACCTCTGGTGGGTTTTGAGCACCAGGAAATGAGGGAGCCATCTTGCTCAAACCACGGTTGGCCCCTTTAAAAGGACACTAAGTTCACATAGTTTCTTTTCTAATCACATTCAGAAATTGATTGCTAATTACTTTTCAGCTATTAGAGATCTTTGGACCAACAGGTCTGAAAACACCAGGTGAGTCTGCCTTCAATCCTTAACAAATGAAAAATTGAACTACAAGCTTAAGAACTTTAAAAAAATGAAGTAAGCAGCAAAAAGCTAATTAAGACTTTGATTTTAGAAAGTTATAAACAGATTAAGGGTCCAGATAAATTTGAAATAAGATTTTGGAATTAATTATAAAAAATCCTTCCTGTGGGAAAGTTGATTTGTTTTGAACATAAAAGAGATAAACAATTTCAAAAATTGGACACTAGAGGGAACTAAAGATTTTAAAGGAGAAGAATACATAAACCTGATTAACAGCTACAGAATGACACAAAATATTATAACATTGGAAATACTGAAGGACACTTTCAAAAATGGAATTAGAAGTTAATATCAACAATGTCAATAGTGACGTTTGCTTCTATGGATAGACTGTGTCCAAAAGATGCTTTGGAAAAGGAGGAACATGTTTTATCTGACAAGACAGTGATGACATTGAAAGTGGATTTACAAATGACAGGCTACAAGAATGACATGGAAAAA